TTTCGCACTTTTGTTCTGACACAGCAGCTTCACACACTGTGGACAGCAAGCTTCAGACTCCTGCTTCAAGCCATCACTCATGTGTAATGAACATAATGAACAGAATCATGGAGCTCAGACACAATGAAAGCTGCGTCTTTCTCTGTTTTTTTTTTTTTGCCAGGCCCTCACAAACCTGCTCTGTGTGGTGGAGAAGGAGCCAGATTAACACATGGCTCCTTGGTCTCCAGCTGGAGGCAGCTCCTGCTCTCCTGCTGCTCTGCACAGATGGGACCGGCCACTCACACCATTCACTGTGCATGGAAGTTGTGTCACCTTCAAATGGAAAACATTTGCCACATTTATCGGACTGATATTCATGAGTGTGTACAATTTGTTGCAGATACAAATAGTGAATTTAAATGTGGTTTCATAAAGTGACTGTTGGGCCTAGACAGAGATATACGCTCTACTTGGTGCTATTCTATAATACATATAGATTTCTGGTGTTGCTGTGTATTAGATTCCTGTTCTCAACATAGAAAGAAAGCAGCAGCAACATGAGTGAAGGTCATCCAACCAGCAAGTGATTGCTAATGTGAATTAAAATAAACCTGACACAGGGCACTTTGCATGTTAGGGTTAATTCCTCTTGTGTGAAATCAGTGCGGACTAAGCATCAGCCAGTTTTCTCTGTGCCATGCACTCCTACCAAAGTGCTGCGTCTCAGACGGGCAGAAGGGTTCTGTGCCGCAGGTTCACTATTCAGTGGAAACTCCACTTAATTAGAAGTTTGAATGGCCACAGTTTGTCTGACAGCAGGAACAGATGATGCAGCACTTCAGGAAGAGCGAGGTAATTAGCCACAGAGGAACAACATGAGCACTGGGAGAGTTTCAAGGCAAAGTACCAGACCACTCTGCTACATGCACTGAGGTAACGCGACAGAGCGGAGGAACGCTGGCCTGGTCTGCTTGCACCCTCAAGTGGTGAAGGGATCCTATTACAAGATGCAGGAGAACACATGGCAGCTGTGATTGGTTTGGCTCTGTCCTGCATTCACTGTACATTTTGGATTTTGTGATATTTCCATCACATGTAAGTCGCTGAAATCAACCTCTGTTCAAATAAATTGGATGTCAAACACGACACGGCACGAGAAGGAGAGAAACTTGAGATGTCTTCAAGATGAAGGACCTGAAGCTGCTCCGTAAACAGTCACTGAACGGTTTATTAATTATGATTAATAACTCACACAGAGGCCTGTGCGTCACCAGAAAATCATGATGGACGATAGAAGGACGTTTGGTTTATTGCTTCATCGTGCAACGTTAACCAGACACCACAACTTCATATCAGCCAAATCTAAAGAACTGCATATAGAATTTAAACAACCGATAAATAAAAGAATCTGTTAACTTTGACGATCAAACCCTCAGACCTTCAAATTTAAAAATCACAGACAGTTACTATTTAATTAAATATTCAGTCTAACAGCAAATCCCTTACCAAAACCACAGCAAACTTCAAAATAAAACTATTAATAGAAGGATACCGTAACTATGACCCAACAGTCCCTTTAAATCAAATCAAGCTGCACCGACTTTCATACACTGATAAATATCAGTTACCTCAAAATGCCTGATTGCTTTCATCAAGATCTCTGATTTATTTCCTGTAAAATTGGAGAAAATCAGTTTTTTTCCCGACACACCCTGCATCCTTCCACCAAGTTTACATGGTGGAGGTGATAAAATAATGTGAACCGTTCCAGTTTTCTTCCTTATAACACACTTTTTAACACTGATAAGAAAAGTGCTACATATAAATAAATAAATACAGTGTGTTACCATTTATTAAGAGAGTTAAACTGGTCTTGTATATGCATATAAGTATTTTTTATTCAACTGTAATTAATTCCCAGTAGTTTGGAAGCTTCCCAGTGAAACCACTGGCCGCTGAGCAGCTCCACTAAGTTTATGTGGGGTTAACGTCCCGAGGGTCGGAGTAACGAGGCTGTGGAACATCAGCCTCTTTGACCTTAATCGGCCAAATTTGTCCTGAGAATAAACACACAACCCTGCTCTTCTAATCCTCAGAGCAAAGATCCCCAACTACAGGTTATCAACTTACTTCTGCAGCTATCAGGCTGTAGCTGCAAAGATTGTGTGTTTCAGCCAGGGTGTAGAAAAACTCCAAATACATTATACTAATGTCATTAACGTTAATAATTTGACATCCAGTGGTTTAAATGACATTTTGATGTGAAATAGTTTGATGAATGTTTGAAATGCTTCTTCCATTCAAAGTGATCACAAAGCCACAGCCTCTGTGTTTTCTTCTCTGACCAGTTGCGTAAATTCCATTAAGGTCGTCTCATCTATCGAAGGGACAGGAGGACAAAGGGAAACTCGACCACATTTGATTCGTTCATGACAGCTTTAAGCCCTGGCTGCTTTATATTGGTTACAAATCATACGATCGGAAGAATAGGAGGAAATTAAATGTACTCTGCCTCTTTGGTTCTTACAATGAGAAGCAGGATGAATGGTGGGTAATCTTAACTGTCCCCGAGAGCAGGATATTATATAAGCTGTCTATAAAACTCAGTAACATATGGCTCAGAAACAGCGTCTAAACGCCAACATCAACTATCAATTCCAAACATTCACTGCAACAACTTATATTTCCACTCTGATCATCAAAGACTTTTACAAATCTCAGCCCTGAAAAGATGCTGAGCAGAGGAAAATGACAAATCATCCCGCTCACATCATGCATCACATCATGGACGCCGGAGGGCGGAGGTGTGCGGCGAGCCTATAATAAACTGACACATTGGCTCAGCGGACATGGCAGGAAGCAAATGCTGCACTGCCAAGCCAAATACACTCAGACCCCCTATCAGTTCTTTGGATGTAATTGATCCAGTATGCAGACGGAGCCCGTTGGCCTGCAGCGGCACTCGGCAGGTCCGGCTCTGTGAGGGAGCTGAGGCGTGCACACAGAGCGACTATTCAGAGAGCTCACAGAGGAGAGATGAAGCGAGAACGAGACGCTCTTTATGGGCCAACAGCAGGAAAATGCCTGTTATATAACAATAACATCATCTGCTGACAAGGCCTGTGCAGTCTGAGGGTAACTGATCAACTGAGTTAGTGTCTATTTATAGACCTTCAGCTGCCTTCAGTTAGTTTCTATTTGTTTAGCGGTGGAACTATGATGGCGACCTCGTCTACAGATCAGAGGACGACATGAGATGAAAGGTCACAAGGTTCAGCAGGAGAAAATGTGTGCAGCTGGAAAGAACCATTCCCCTCCCTCAACATACAAGGCTGGGATGCCCTTGAGCAAGGCACCGAATCCACCAACTGTAGCTGCTGACTGCTCCAGATGTGTGTGTTCACTGCTCATGACCGGGCATTCTTCTTCTTCTCCTGCCCGTATGAACCATAGAATGTATATAAAGATGGCCGACATCGCAGCTCACTAAAAAGTCACAAGTAGTTTCTTTCATTTTAGGTCGTTTCTGATAAGTTGAGTTTTCAGGTGAAACATCGTGATTATGACTCTGAGGATATTTTGGCTTCCTTTCTGAGAGAGGCATCGTGCATCTTTGTATAAATTCTAAGCTTAATAAAAGTTTGGAGAAGAGCCTCAAAAGTGACGGTACATGGGGTCAGAGTGTATTGAGTGAAGGTCAGGGACAATTAAAGATGAATGAGGGACCAGTGTTGGGCAGGGGGGGGGGGGGGGGGGGGGGGGGGGGGGGGGGTGCCAAAGGTGTTGGCCGCTCAGGTGTCACCGACATGTGTGGAGAGAGAGAGAGAGCAGAGAACAGGAGATCAACAGCTGAGGAGGTATCAGGTCACCGGGTGGAAACATTAACTCCGTATCTGGACGAGTCTGCAGGTAAGATCTGTCCTTAGGCTCTGATGTGACGGAACATAATTAAGTTTAAACTTCTTATAATAGATCAGAAAGAATTACTGAGCCCAACTAAGTCAAATTTGATCTGAACAGTTCAGAAAGTTTGTCACTTTCTGTAACATAGGGGACTAATATTCAGGATTGTTTGCAGTTTGGTGCGGATCATATCTAGTGATTGTAAGTGTGGTTTCATACGGGGGCTGTTGGGCCTTGGTGGACGTGTGCGCTCTCTGGGTGACACTAGTTTAATAATAGGGTAACGATCTAGTGTGAAGGAGAAATATGCTTGTTTGTATACGTTTGATATTTTAAGCATCATTTTTAAAATGTATATAGGCTACAGGCTGTGAGCACATGATGCTGGATAACTTTCAAAGTTTTGAGATTATGATTTACAGCATCAGGATCTTATGTTACGATAAAAACTACAAATGTTTGTTCTCTTAAAACCTGTTGTCAACGCTTACAAATAAAAACAAACTGGGCCACTCACAATGACATTCAAGAGAGTGGGCTGGACCGACAATACAGTAGCAAGACTCACATTTGTCCTATTTACCATCTGAGGCTGAGGTGCACTCATGCATGCTGTACACAGAGCAGTTAATCTCAGGAGATGGCTGCCTGCTGCCTCCTCACCGGCCCGGCAGATGACTGGGCTGCAGACGCAGCGATTAGGTTACAGATGCTGTAACAGGCTGAAACAATGGAGGCTTGTTATCGTGCAGAGGAAAAAGCAAAGATGGGTGTCATCTTAATTTACATTTCTCCTGTGCAGACAGTTTCTGTTGCAGCGTTGATCAAAGCTCCAACCGACGCGACTTTTTTATGCTGTTCATTGAGCTGCAGAACCACAGGAGTCTGAACTAATCCAACATTTCATCCGTGTTTTAACCAAATACTCTCATCTCAGGACTTTTTATCAAGCTCAGCAGACTGAATGATGTCGCACATCCTCAAATCACACAGATACAAAACTTCCACACGTGTTATGTCACCATGCAGCTGTTTACACTACAGCTCAGTAATAAAGCTTCAGTAGCTCCGATTTTGCTTCATCAGACTTAAATAATATCAGATGTACAAAAAGAAAAGGCTATTGCTTATATAGTCTGCACCTCTGACGTATTTTACAGACTGATGTTTGTTCATGTTGCTGTTTGTGTTTGTATTATTAATGGCTCAGTTGAGAATGGAGTCATATCAGAGGGATTCAATGAGGAGAATCAGGAGAAACAGCAGCAGGACTCTTCTTCAGGATCTCTTGTATAAAGGAGGAGGAGGAGGAGACAGAGACACTCCCGTAAGAGTTTAATCATCACGTCTCGACTGTCGGCTGCACATTCTTTATTCATCGATGTCTAATTGCTTTTAGAAACACTCAACCGCTGTGGATATTATTATCTGCACAACTGAACGCTCTGATCTGATTCCTCTTTTTGAACAGATCCCAGCTCGGCCTGGTAGAGACGCTAAAATGATCCACTCCATAGCCAGTCTGATCAGAGGGAAGAGCAGACTCCTCCTGCTCGAGAACCCTGACACCGTGGAGATCTACAAAGTGAGTGAAGAGCATTTCATTTTCACTAGTATGAGAGACGCTCGCTGATCTGATGTAGTGTACTACTGATGTTGGGTCGATATTCAAATTGGACAGTGAAGCAGATTTTTATCAGCCAGCTACATTGTGGCACCAATAATACATGAAGTCAAATACACTGTTTATTCAGAATCTTCTAATGCATGTGATTTTCCCCTCACATTTTGCAATTGATTAAATATTCATGACAGAAAAACTCTCACATTCAGAGTTGTTTTTATTAAAATGCAAATGAGAAGCAGAAGAGATAAATATTTGATAAGAGTTTTGTGTTTTCTGAACGACATAAAACACACAATGCAGACAACTTGCTGTATTCACACACATGCTAGCACACGGACCGGAATGGCACTCAGTAGAGACCATATCAAATTGAATGAAGCTGCACCAAATTACTACTCATAGAAATCAGTTCCCGAAATATGCCTGTTTTTTCAAGTATATGAATTCTTGCCTGAGAAATTCCCGTAAATATAAGACACAGAAAATTCCGCAGCTTTGTTCGGATCTGTGCTAAAATTGAATGGCTTCTTTCTTGGGCCGTATCCAATCATCCAATCCCTCCAGCAAGTTTCACGATAATCCGTTTTATGTTTTTTACATAATCCTGCTGACAAACAAACAAATCAACAGCGATCGGGACACTGTCCTGTCGTCCATCTTTATGATCAGTCTGTCTCTGAGCTGCGTTTAAGACGGTTTCCATCCTGTGATTGTAGCTGAATGAGTCAACGGCTCGTTCTACGAGAGCTGCTAAAGACGACGTTTACCTGCCAGACATCACAACGAAGGCCTCAAATCTGAGCTCAATGAGAGGAGCTCTGAGTCAGTCCTGTCCCTACCTGTATGACAAGCGACGAGGATCCTTCTCTTCAGTTGCCTCCCAGAGAACAGGAGGTCTCCCTAAAAAACAGGTAATCTGACATTATAAACCAACGTACGTCAACGTGAGCTCGGACGTGTTTTGAGATCCACGCCTTCCTGCTCTCTCCACATCAGAGTAACCTAAAGGCGCAAAGAGAGGCAAAGAAATCCAACGTCACCGTGACGATGATCTACCTGGGCCAAGGTCGCCAGGGGTCGGGGTTGAAGTCCACTCAGGATGAGCTGAAGGTGCTGCAGCAAGTCAACGGAGGGGAGAACATCTGTGTGTTCAAGGGCCTGGTGACTCCAGGAGGTAGGAGCTGTGAAATGTGAAGCTGACTCACTCGAATGGACGAAGGGGTGCACAAGAGAGCATTTAATGTACAGTTAACGGCGTATTTCTCCGTCAAGGCCCAACCGTCCCCTTAAATTCAACCGAGCTGAACAAGGTTGAACACACTCATAGATTTCAGGTCCCTGAATTATTTTTTCCAACGAGATCCGTGAACTACTCCCTGAAATCTATGAACATGTCAAAAAACACACTTTCTCACAATGTTTTAAAGAAAGAGAAAAAATTCTGCTCCAAACTTTAATGGATTCTTTGCATCCCACCCTTCCACCAACTTTCTGTTGTTATCAGCATCATTTTCACACACAAAGAAAACCCCCTGTAGGAACATTTGCCCCCACATCAATCACAGTCAGAATAAAAGGTGAGGGAAATTAGTGGTGTTAAAAGCTTTTTCCCATTTTCCCAGATTTAATTTCTCGTCTTCCCTCAAAGCAACATTGTAAAAAAGAGGAGGATGATGATGTGCGGCCTCGGGCGGATTTGAGCCGAACATGAATACGAAGAAAATGTGTGACCTTAGTCATTCTGAGAGTTTTGGTTTTATTCGCAGACCTCACTGTGTTTTCACTGGAACATCACACGCCACAGGAAGCTGATGGTGCAGTTGTCATTGTGGGTTATGTTAGAAATAACTTTGACTGATTCTTGGTCAGAGCCGAATAAGTTTGGTTTAGGTTTGGATTTAGTTTCCTTTTTAAATGACTGAAACAGAACAAACAGAGATGTTTGATCCCTCTTTAACAATGAGCTCTCAGCGCATCGACACATGCAAACCAGACTTTCAGTACATGTATGAGTGACTCTCAGTAGATCACATATCTCCTCCCAACTGTCCCTTTACATTAAACCAAAAGCACTCAGAGATATCATTCACCCAAATGTTCCTGGTTTTTAAAATCTAGATCCATGAATTACTTTCTGGGAAGTTGTTGAAAATGTTGGACATTTTAACGTCTCCATTCTCCACCCCCTGATCGGGAGCTGCGAAAAATCATATGTTCTCTTAGCTGAAGCATCCTTCCACCGAGATTCATGGAAATCCATCCAGTAGTTTTTGTGTTAAACTTAATTTAAAGTCAAACAAAGTAACTGAGCAAAAAAAACAAACCTCAGTCTGAACTGACTGAAGTCTTCTCTGTCTCTGACTGAACCAGTTTCTTTGTGCAGTGCTCTCCACCAGTGACTGTCTGAGCCACATGTGCACGTTAAAAAGTTTATAGTTTACGTAAAGCAACATTATGTAACTTTTAACTGAGCGATGGCGCCCTCTGCAGACACATGTGGTGATTAGGTCTATCGGTGGAAAAAAAAACAAAAAAAACACAGTTTATCAAATCAAAACTAAATGATGGCTATTACCCACAATCCCCGGCTTCCTGAACCAGAAGAGCTGCTGCTGTAAAGAATTATTGTATTATATGTATAGAATTATTCATATTTTTAAAGTTTCCTGCTGAATACTGAGGATAAACTCTGGTTTTTAAAGACGTCTTAGTCTTTTTAACCGATCTACAGTTCAGCTCGACTCTTCAACCTGCTGGACCTGATTCTGACAGTCGAGGCTGTGACCGAAGTTCCACACTTCTCACAGGAGATCGTAGATACCCACTCACCACAGTTCCATATAAGAACAGATGCTCCAGGTGAGGAGAGGAAATGAAAGAGGAAACATTCTCAGTAAAAAAAAGTTGCTCAGTGTTGCTTTAAAAACAGAAAAAACACAAGAACAGGCTCAATGTGAGAGACTGACTATCAGAGCTGTTATTGACCTTGTGTTGCACTGAACTGAAAGGAACAGCCTGAACCTACAGAAGAAATAACACAATGTCATGATTAGCTGAGCCAAGCAATTCAAGAAAAAAGCCTCCACCTCAAATATCCCATCTTTATAGTATTTGTAACTTGTGACTATATAGGGTCTCAAACCAAAAACCGTAGTGCACCATTGCCGCGTGATATTTCCTCTGTCAGCTCGATGAGCACAGAACACATGGAAAACCATTCCTGGACCTGCAGTGAGATAACCACACGGAATCTATTAGAGAGATCAAACACAATCATCTCCAACCTTCCAGCGTTTCATAATTTTGTCTTTCAGAGCAGTTCCAGTTCCTCTCTCAGAGACACCGAGGTTTTCCCTTCAGCGCCACCTTGTACGTTAATGGCATCATGGTGGCGAGGATCAGCTCCTGCTGCGAGTACCGCTACGCTCCCGGCTTCCAGCAGGGCAGGAAGAGCTGCTTCAGACTGTCGTGGCTGGCGGGCGGGATCCCCTGCTACAGGTTAGATTTCATCCCCCTGAGAGACGGACAGCGTGACATCGGCAGAAAATTAGAAATTAGCAGCAGTCAAAACAGATCGCGTAAAGCCCTTGCTCTGCAGATATATAACGTATTAGGGGGTTGACAGAGGAGGAAAAGAGATGCATATTGCATGACATGAGGGAACAAAGTGGGGGGGGTGCAGAGGTGGAAATAAGAGCCGTGATAAAAAAGCATTTTTCATCTTTTTCAGATGTACAAGTCTCAGAAACAAATACAGCTCCTGCCAGCAGCTGAACAACGACCCAGAGAAGAACTTAATTCTCCCTCTGGAGCAGAACCCTGGCAACGGTACAAAGCCTGGAAACCAGTTTCTCAGTTTCCAATACAGTTAATTTATATATATCTTTTTACTTCAGGCCCCAGTCCATGATTCTAGTGGACTAGTTTCTGACAAAATAAACTTTTCTTTTCTTTCTTTTTGTCTCGTCTGCACAATTCAGGCACAGTTGAGTCATGTCCGTCGTCGCCTCTTTTCATCCCGGCCAAACCGGAGACAAAATCGATGAGGAGGATGAGGAAGCACATCAGGGACAGTGGTGGAGCATCTACAGACAGCGAGGACCAGGCTGCGGCCAGGTTCGCAGAGATCTCCGAGAAGAAACGAAAGAAGAGTCAGACTCGAAAGAAAGACAAAGGCCAAGGAGGCAAGAGAGCAGGGAATGATGGAAGGGAGGAAGGACAGAAAGGCAGAGGAGCGGATGTGTCTCAGAGGTCAACTGTGACAGAAAAATGTGAAGAGCAAGCATCGTCTGCCGGGGAAGAGCAGAGAACAAGCAGGAACGTCACAGCTCTGCAGACGGAGCAGCCGAGACCGAAGAAGACGAGCAAAACTGTGGGTGAGCAGCAAAAGTATCGAGAAGAAAATCTCTCAAGTGGAGATGTGGACGATCTTCAGTCCTTCTGCATGTGGTATTTCGATTTAATATTCTTTGTGGTGAAAAAAAAAAAAAAAAAAGCAAATGAGAAAGAACAAGAGTTTTTCTTTTCAAAGATTCATTGCAGGTTGAGGAAGCAACGACTCAGCAGACGAGAGTGAAACAGAAGGAGCAGGGATCAAATGGGAAAAACAGAGATGGGGAAAGACTGAGGGACTTCTATGAGGAATGTGTGGAAATGAGCAGCGCGTTGGAGCGCGGCCCAAACAAACACAACTGGTTCAAGGCAAACAGTGAGTAAAGAAACCGCAGCACAGTAGGAACGAGCTGGAATCCCCCCCGAGAGCTGTAACAGATTTACGAAATAGTCTTTAGCAGAGGAGGTTTGAGTTTGCAACAAAGCGATGCATTGAACAGCGTCTGTCTGGACGGCAGATGGATGACGAGCGGGAGAGGTTACACAGACATTGTTCACACAGACACACAATCACACACTTGCATTCATAAATCTCTCTGCAGCAGACCTCATTTCTCTATTAAGCAGTGTTTTATTTTCTCTCTCTGCATCCAAAGTCCTGGAGAGGTGCCGGCTCCAGAAGAGGCTCTCATCGGGCCCCGGAGCTCCGGGCTCAGACGCGGAGCTCAGTCCAGAGAGTGACACCGTCCCGCAGCTGCATGGAGAGCCAGAGGAAGAGGAGGACACGGGGAGCCGGAGACCTGATGAAGAAGAGCCTGATAAAGAACGAGAACTGCAGGAACAGGTGTGTTCAAGGTTTCTGCAGATTTCAACAAGTTCAGTTGAAGATATTTTAAAACTATAATCTGATATGAAAAAAATATGAGTCTCACAAATACTTACACTTCCCCAACTAGAGTCGCCCTCCGCTGGCCATTAAAGAGAATACAGACTTAGGGTACCTTGGCATTGCCCTACTCTTCGATTTTTGTATACACTCTTTGATTTTAACCTAAAACATTATTTTTCAGAAATACACAAACGGTTGTTACAAATGGTCACTGAGGTTTATCTAGGACTCTGAGGGGGTTTGGCTTCATCGTATCCATCACGATGAAGAAGCTTCCGACCAAGCCTGAAAAATTCCTCAAGGTTCAGCAAAGTGGCCCAGTGGACGTGGCCACCGGCCAGACCGTATGTCTCTCTGGACTCTAACCTCACTCACCCACATCTCTGTGTTCAGAAAACCTCCAGCACCGGTCCCACTCACATCTCAATCCCCTGCTCTCACACACAGACAGTAAACGCTTCACGCCGGCAACACTAGATTCCCAGGGCTGTGATTATTTCTGCAAGAGAGAAAAACATAATCTACGTTTGCTACAAAAAAGGATTTCTGTATTTTACAAATACTCCGGCGATGAAGGTGAACCAGAGGTTAGATGAGATAAAAGCAACTGTTTGCATTACTTTTTTTTCTAATTCTTGTATCCTCATGTAAGAGACCAATTCCCTCCAGGATTATAGGAGAGAAAACTGCTTTAGAAATAAAATAAATAAATATATTGGTTTTTTAGATGGATTGTTAAATATTTGCAGCCCCAAAAACCTTTTTTCAACGTTATATAACCCTTGGCCTTATCTTTCCAAAAGCCCTGTGGATAAACTCTAAAATAGATACCGAACATTTTATTATCAGTGAAAAGTTGACCTTTTGGAGAAAGTTTCTGCGGATGTCTTGCACTGAGCCAAATCCCAAAATAACAACCCAATTCAAACGCAGTACTTTCACAGCCTTGTCTTGTCTTGCGGCTGCAGCTCGACGCCATGATGACGGTCCTGAGCACATCCGATGAGGTGGAGCAGCTGGTCCTGAGGCACACGGACCTGACGGACGACCTCCTGCTGAGACTGGCCGAGGCCCTGAAGTCCAGCCGGTCTGAGGTCACGCTGCTCAACCTCAACCTCAACCTCATTGGCCCATATGGTTCTCACATCCTGCTGGACGTTCTCAGAGTGAAGCCTCAGGTCAAAGGCCTTCAGTGAGTCCCGGGCTCCGCTCATCCCATGTTACACCCAACATCTGAGAGAGAATAACAATTCAACTCAGAAAACACACAGAATAACAAGCAGATCCAGGAACAGAGAAGATACAGCAGAACCAGCACTAGACTCATCACTGACACAATCCTTCTCTTTGGTGTGAACGAGAAACGCCTCCACTGCCTCTCTGTGTTACTTCCTTTTCCCAACCTAACACAAAACGTCACATGATAACTCATTAGTATTTAAGTGAATTGATGCAGATTAAAAGGGCTGAATATGAATTTCAGAGTTTCACTAAAATACACTAATAAACGCAAAACATAAAACAGGAAAGGGGCATTTTGTCTTTGTTTGAAACTTAGACTGTATTTAAAGTCATAAACCTGCCTCCTCCATGTTTGCACATGGGTCAAACTAAAAAGTCCAAGGATACGTCAAATAGATTTCTTTCCAAAGATGGGAACATTCGTGGGCTGAACATTGGTAAAAACATATTTTAACCTCTGGCAGAGAGTTTGGCAAGAAGATACTGTCTTATTGATCCGTCCATTAGATATATAAATTTAATGGAATAGCTGCCCAGCAACAAGCACAGACTCCAGGAAGTAACTGGTCTCAGCCATTTAACTTAACAAACCACATAACCTCCCCAGTAAAATGTGGAACAGTCGTTTCATGCTGAGGTTTCTGTAAGAATCACAGAAACTAGAAATGATATTCCAGTATTTAGAAATCAGTAAGGCAGCTGCTGGCTGTGGAATAATATGTAACAGACAGACATGATGGTATTGATCTTCTCATCAGAACTGTTTTTCCCAAACTGTCAAAGGGGTTCTTTCATGTGCACAGCAGATCCAACGTGTTCATGTAATGGTTTCAAGTTCTGACAAAATAAGGATGGAAATTCACGTTTTAAATCTCAACTACACCCATGATGCACCAGTTCAAACACTTCCTTCCTCAGATCTACTGTACATTTATATAGAGACACCAAATATGTCTGAGTCAATGACGGGGAAAAATAAATCTTTTGACATACAAGAAGAATTTTCCCATTAGATGTAATGAAGCTGAAGATCAAGCAGTTTAAAAAAGCATATGTGCCTGTGAAAGTTTGTTATAGCTCATAACTGATAACGTGAGGGAGCACTTCATATCGAGCTGCTTCCTTTTAACGGAAGGGAAGGAAGGAGGAATGGTAACCACTTTCTTTTATCTCTCTTCAGCTTGTTTGGAAACAAACTGCGGGACCATGGCGTGATGACCCTGCTGAATGGAATCGCTGAGCTGCAGGAGCAAACAGCGAGAGCCGCTGCTGCCATCCAACAAGCAATGCTGTTCCCATCCGAACAAAATACGCTTCTGCAGCTGCCCACTGGGTGGCGCTCTTTCAGGGTTTTTGCACTTTTAGAACTTGATGTCGGGGGAAACGGCTTGGGCAGTGACGGGGTGAAGGTGTTAGCATCGTATTTGAGGTACCACTCGTATCTCCAGTATTTGGGGCTGGCACAGACCGGTGCCGCCGATCTAGCCGCGTGGAAGGAACTTTTCGACAGCCTGAAGGGAAACACCTCGCTGACTCACATCATCCTCGACGAGAACAACTTGGGGGACCCCGGCGTCAGGCTGCTGGCCGACACGCTGAGGGAGAACACGGGTCTGCGGCAGGTGGACCTGGACAGGAACGGCATCAGCGACGTAGGAGGAAATGACATCATGGGGGCGCTGCTTTGCAGGGCACAGCTCCCACTGAGACATCTGAGCCTTCAGGAGAACAACATCAGTGCAGGGCTAATGAGCAGGATCCAGGAGGAGGTAAAATACTAATGATTTCTGCAGGAGGGAGGAAGTAACAGCTACATAATCAACAAAGCACCGAAATGAGAAGTCATTGGATCATTTGTTTACATTCAGAGGTCATGAAGGAAAAATGACTAATTCACTGGTTTGACCTTTAAACACACACACACACACACACACACACTGATCTCTCCCTTTTCAACTGGGTGGCCCGGCTAAGAAATGCTGCATCTTAATTTATCCCAGGCAGGTGGCGTAGGAGGTTTGCTCTGGGGTCTGGATGCATTTTCAAAGAGATCACGAAATCTTCTTTGTGGCGAGGTTTGGTCTTCACCTTATCTTTTTTTTTTTTTCTTCCTCTTCCTCCCACCAGCGTTACCCCTCATGACTCCACACCTCTTACTTTGCTAAAACTGACACGAGCACGAGGCTGACTGATCCCTCGCATCATTTTCTGCCTGCCGACAAAAAAGAAACCGCAGTGATTCATCCCGCCCACAGTATTTACAGGTCACGGATGACTAATCCACGATTTTATCCCCCCACCCGGAAAATTTCAGTAGCCATCGCTAGATCCCCTCTCTCCACTTCTACAAATCAAAAGAGAGTTACGGACAGCTAAGCCATGCCACGTCAACTACCTTCGTTCTGTTGTTCTCTCCTCCCCATGTGTCACACAATGCTTCTATTCAGAATCTGAGCACGAGGGGGGGGACGAAGCAAAACTAGGGCAAATTCAGCTGAATTTCGGGGGCCGTCATCTCATTGTTCTATCAACACTGACATCCTGAGAATAACTGCACCTGTGATCAAAGCTTGTCAAAGTGGTAATTATCTCCTCCTCACAGGGCTGCCAGTAGTGATTCTGCTGAAACCAATCCCTCTGTATTTCATGTGCAGCCTTTGCAAATTCCTCTCCGCAGAACTTCGATAACGACGTTCTCCCAAGCCCCCGGGAGGATGACGGATAAATGAGACCGGCACACCTGAAGATTACATCTGCTGATCCCGCTCTGACTGACATTGTTTTTGTGGTGTTGTATATTTAAAACTCTGTACAGCAAAGAAAAAGATATCAAGTGTACGGAGTCATACTTTGTAATGTCATTTCTTTGCAGATAAGTGTGATTTTGTTATCTGCACTAAAAACACTCACAGTTTTGCTTCTTTTTGACTGTTAATCTTCCGAGATCTCAACAGCCGCACTTGTAGTAGATCGGATACAGAACTAAGTGGTACACCACCATGCCTGGCTGAGCATAAGTCTGCAAACAAGAGCCGCACTGTAATTTGCCAACTCCTTCGATAAGGTCTTTGTGCTTCTCTGTTACATGTAAAACTCGGATCAGTGACCCCATTGTCCGTCTGCTAATGTTATCTGTATTTGGCCTGAAACAAATCCTGCAGTGTTACAAACTTCTTCGTCTTAAATCTTACAAAATCTGAATGTTGGGAGTTTAAAGGTTTAGTCAAGAAACTGTTTCTCCCTGAAGACCGAAGCATCGCCAGAGCTGCAGCAGCCACCGTTGTACAATAATAATCAGGTTAAACACTAATCGTCTGAACAGCAGCTAATACATCTCAGACTTTTTGGGGTCAGACGAAAAAAGGAGGACGAGGGAGAGAATAAAGAAGAGAAAGTTCCTTGACACAGATGCTGCAAAATAAGTGATATGTTAGTATAAAAGTCAATGGTTTTCCTAAGAAATCTATGTTCTGGAAGTTTGTGTGAGCAGAGTGGCCTCGGATGGAGACTGATTTATTTTTTCAGTCCACCCACGTGAGCGGGAGTGTGTGTTTGTATACAATGGACCGGTTTCCAGCCTACATTTAGAAACTCAGGTGCTGTGTTTACGGAAGTCTGGGGGCGGTGAACCTCCGCTAGAAGCGCTGCGTCTATTCTGTCTGCAGCCACACACACACACACACACACACACACACACACCAATGTTATTCATGCAACTTAACCACTTAAAGGCCATGTGTTTTTAATTCAACAATACTTTTTTCACATGAGACTCATTGCAAGTCCTGAAACCAAGTTCTGACCAATTAGATTCACTGTTAGCCAGTATGAAGGTGAAATCCTAATCAGGTAAGTGCCCACTGAAAAACCATGATGTTTCCTCTCAGCATGACGACTCCACTTGCTGTGGAGTGCGGGAAGGCAGCAGGAAGTTGATGTTGGCTGCACTGAAGCAGAAGATGAGCGTGGACGGACCTGGCTGAGGATGAGAGCGAAGGTTTCTAGATTTGTGAGATGTAGTGCTGCAGTGAGACCTCTCCCAAACAAGTGTCCTTTATCGTCATGAATAGCAGGAAATTTATAAACCAGATATGTTCTCACGATGATGCATCTAGATAAAATGTGTAATTCTGTCAATTTCATTTTATTTAGTCGTTCAAACAGACAAATCTGTCTGAAATATGATGCCAATGCAAATATTGTTTTCTTGAAAATAATCAGTATTTCCACTTGGCAATTTACTGGTGAGTCTGGTTCTCAACCTGGGGGTAAAGGACCAACAAAATATCTGATGATGAATCTAAGACGTCAGAAAATTATAAATGGGACACGAGAATTAAATCACCTCATTATTTTCTCGAGAAAAATGTGATGTGTGTGTGTGTTTTTTTCCTTCCAGGCTTCTGAAATTATAATTAATTCTGTATTCAAACCTATGAAAAGGCTGTTACACAGACATTTGGGTCGATTTAAGTGCATACAGCAAAAATCAAAAGATTTTGGAAGCACATATTTTGGACACACAAATGTAGAAAAGCTACCGTTCTTTAAATATTCAGATTACAAACTTATGTTCAGTGGACTCTCCGCTGCCACGTTCACTTCATTATGTCACACAGCATTTTGATCACTGTGAGAAAAAAGTTTTAGCATCCGCTCCTTGAACAATGGCTCCTGCTGCTGTTTGACATTTGGCAGAAAGAGCAGCCTTTCAATATGGATTATTCATCAGTGGTTTGATCTTCCACTCAAATGTCACCACAACAATGCTTCCAACTTGGCACCAGCGTCTGTCTTTCAGCAGCTCTGCAGGATACGGAATTGGCAATAATTACCACTTCTAATGCGGCCTTCAGAAAGATTTAGACTTTATGTGGAAGCACTTTTGCTTTTCAAATTGTTATTATTGCCATTTTATTGAAGGGTAAGGAGAGAATTGTGAACCACAGCACTTTTCTAAATGTAAAATGCCTAAAGCAGGTTATGTATGAATGACTGCAGCAGCACGAGGTGTCTCAGATGACAGATGGATGTAACAGACCTGTGGCCACAAGGAAAATATCAAATGAATTAATTTAACATCCAGCGTGAATCTAAAAAATATCTGTTTTGTTTGTTTTTGATGACTTGGAGTATAACTGTAGATAAATCAATTATATCACCTTATAAAGTTGCTATGGTAACTGAATTAAAAACTTCCCTACTACTGAGCAAATGTAGTGAAGTTGCTCATTTGGAATTGGGTTTTGACAGATCTTAGTTCAATAGCAAATCTTTTTTCAACTTTGTTTTGGTCTTTACACCTCCTCTTCATTATCTGACTTAAGCTCAATGAAGTCTCCGCTCTGTCAGAACTAGTGGAAAAGTTAAAAACAGCAGAACCAGAACATTTTTATTTTACTTTAAATTAAAATTGTTGCTATTCAGTTAACTATTGTTTCAGCTCTGATTTGTGATCATTGTTAATTCACTGGGATTAACTTTAAAAGCTATAGCGAGGATATAGTTTCATCCCATAGCTGCACCATAATAGAGTATGATACTATTATATCACTCTAAATATGGTCTTACAGAACAGAAATGGATAGAACTTCTCTTTAAATTTCCTGTTGTATGTATGGAATGGGTAAACAGAGCTAACTCTTATTGGATCCAGCTGGGCCTGGACAGAGGTTACTGCATTCAGCTGGCCCCAATTCCCCCAGACATGAGAGTAAAACAAAAGACTCTGTATTTATCAGACCAGAGGTTTCATTGCTAAAGCATGACAGGGAAGGATTCATGTGCTATTGATCATATTTTAAGGCCTGTTTTAAAAATAGAAAGGGGAGAGGGATAGCCTAAAATGATTATGATCCCCTCAGGTCTTTTGCAGCTACAGTCAGTTGAATAAATCACCATAATTCTTGCACACACCCAAATGTTTCCTTGGAATTATGTGACTGCTTTATTAACTAAAGATGATTCATATAATATCGTATAGGAACATTAGTTAGATTGACACCCTCTGTCTGCAGGAACATCCTCCACAATTTCCTGCAGCTGCTGAACTTCTAATAACCATTGTAATGTTGGGATATACTGGCCAACTGACTGCCATTACCCACCACTGGTCTGGAGAACAAACACAGTCCAGTCGCAGCGCTGCAGCTCCACACCTGCCAATGGTTAGAGATGAGGTCCAGCATGGCAGTCGTTTGTGATGCGTGGAAAAAAAATCAACTCATTAAACCTTAGGAGTCTCTGGATGTCTCTTTTTTTTTTTCTCTTTCCACCAGAGCTCATCCGTGGTTTCCATGAAACAGGCTCTCGGCCTCGGTACAGAACGGACATTCTTTGCTTGGATTGGAAAGAGGTGCTTGTTGAACTGCTGTCAGGTAGGAAATCCACAGTAAAATTGCGGTGCGCTTGCCCTCAGGCGCCGCCTCCCGAAGGCCAACATGGAATGAGCTCTTACAACTTTTACAGGTCAAGGACCACCAGCGTAGGAATCAAGACCACAAATCCTCCGTGTCCCGAGGAACCAAATCTGGGAAAACTTTACATAACAGTTACACAACTTTCTACATGCTAGGCTGCATGGGGAAGGATGCACAGCTAGGAGTCAACCAATTTTCTTCTATCATTGTGCATTAAAGGACTCTAGCATTTCCTTTTCCATGAACAGATCAGTGTCCGTTGGAGTGTGACGGTATAAAAAAAAAAAACCTTGGTTCGGTACAATCATCGGCTTTGAACGAAGGAAATATAAAGCATTGAACTTTTCAATCATTCTTACAGTCTGTAATGCTGCAACTGACTGAAACCTATAACAAACGTATATGTGCAGCATATAGAAAAACCACTGCTCAACTGGCCTGGACTGA